AATTGTCCCCTGAATGTCACACACGTGCCACTGACATGTGCTACCCCTCCACACACATCACACACAGAGTAAGTAATGCCTAAAATTTACATAAAACCATTTAGATGTGTACCCAATGATAATAAGGAATGCCTAAAATTTATGTAAAACCATTAGATGTGTACCCAATGAAGCGTATAGGGCTTGTGTGCTGAAATGAAAACAGCTGATGAAAAATATCTAAGAAAAAGAAGGGTGGAGACATGAAGGGTCGCCAGCCAGAGCCAGAAGGAGAGGAAGGACGACAGGAAAACGTCATGGGTCACGTGGCCACACGTAGCTGAATAAAAATTAATTTAAGTTATAGGAGCTAGCGGGCAAGCCTGAGCTATCGACTGAGCTTTCATAATTAATATAAGTCTCCATGTCGGGTTTGGGAGCTGGCTGACGGGACAGAAAAATCCACCTGCAAGCAGGAGGACTCATTCTGCTACCTGATCTCGGGAGTTACTCCACAGTTACTGTCGTCAAGACTTCATGGTATTGCTGGAAGCAGAGCTGCATGGATCAATGGAACAGAATATAAAATTCAGAATGAATTCCACTAACTAATTTCTGATAAATAAACCAAAAGAATTTACTAAAGACAGGCTTTTGAAGGAGTTTTGGATTTGCCCCCAATTGTGTGATCCTGCCATAGTGGTTATTTCCAGCTGAAACCTTGTCTTCCTTACGCCTGGAGTAAAAATAGCCTTGGTCATCAAAGACTGATGATGGCGGCCATAAACCTGCACAGATAAGTCCTTTACACTTGTCTTCCACTTTCCAGTCTTCCACTGGCGTGTACGCCAATCCCATCTATCCTCTAATGACTTCCCCCAGCTTTACGACCGCAGTTCAGAGGTCCATTTGTCCCACCATTTCTTCACAAGTTTATGGTTCTTTATCTAAACACGTCTAAAAGCACACGGTGCTCTGCTTGTATTTTTCACTTTAGTCTCTTGTGAGTTCTCACTCATGTGCACATAAAATTCACACTACTCCTGTGCTTTCTCTTGCTAATCCGCTCCTGTGTTTGTTTGATTGCTGGGGTCAGCTGACGGGGGCTTTCTTACTCCTTTCCTTTCAAGTCTCCTCAGCAAACAATGCTTGAGCAATTTAATACAGGTAAAGGGAGCTCCAGTGCGGTGATATTTTGTATATGCTCTAAAAAAATAAAGCTTGCCTGAGATCAGAGGGCAAAGCCAGCTGCAGAGTTAGCCATAGAGGCCAGGCAGTGGTGGCACACACCTTTAATCCCAGCACTAGGGAGGCTGAGACAGGAAGTGATATGGCTGGGCAGAGAAAAGGAATATAAGGCGGGAGGGGACAGGGGCTCAGCCCCTTTTCGACTGAGGAGTTGATGAGGTGAGGTGGTGGCTGTGGCTTGTTCCTTTGTCTCTCAGATCTTTCAGCATTTCCCCCGATATCTGGCTCTGGCTTTTTGTTAAGACCAGTTAGGATTCGTGTTACACTCCAGTGTAAGTCTTTTACTTTACAGAAAGAAAGGGAGCTTGGAATGTATTGCAAATGGGACGTAGTGGGGTGTCCTGCAGTCCAAGCTACTCAAGAATCAGAGACAGAAACACCTCTTGAGAGAGGAGTTTGAAGCCAGTGTAGGCTACACAGCAAGTTCCCAGACAGACTGGACAACACAGTAAGACCCTGTCTTAGAGAACACCAAAACAAACAGAAAGAACCAAATGAAGATGGGATGTCTTCAAAATGAAAACTGTTTGCTTTGACAAAGACACAGATGATCTCGACATTCCCCGCCTGCAGAATCCCTCTTCTCTCTCATCGATTGGATTCCCAGAGCTCTGGGACGTTGAGATCATGATGTTAAGACGTGCAGAGATGACTGGCCACACTAGTGGAAGCCCATGAACAGTCTAGTGGCTGTGGAGCCCCCATGGGACTGGATATGGTTGCTTGGCTCGAACTGTTTGGGGAGCACCCAGGTCGGGGATGGAGATCTGTCCCTGGTACATGGGCAGGCTTTTGGGAGCCTGGGACTGTGGTGTGATGCCTTGCGCAGCCTTGGTGCAGTGGGAAGGGGCTTGGACCTGCCTAGGCTCAGTGTGCTGGGCTCTGCTGACTCCCCATGGGAGACCTTAATTTGGGGGGTGTGGGGATGTGGGATGGGAGGAAGGAGGAGGGGGGATCTGTGGGTGGTATGTAGAGTGAGTAGAAAATTTCTTAATAAAGAAAAATGAAAAAAAAGACGAGATGATGAGAGGAAGGACCACCGGTAGCCAAAACACTTCTCACACTTCTGATAGTGAACTCATTGTGACACCCATAAAATTCTTTTTTATAAAATAAAATACTCTCAAAACTCAATATTACAAAAGCAAAAAAAGATGGAATCCAAATAGCAAATAAATACATGGAAAGATGGCTCAGACTGAGACTACCACTTTGTAGCCCCAATAGTTAGAAGTGGGGACAACAGAGAACAACAAAGTCAGAACTGGTGAGGATATTGAGAAACCAGGTCCCTCGGGACTGCTGTTGGAATGTGAAGTGCACGATGACTTGGCAGTTTCTGACAAACTGACCACACAGTTATATTTCTCAGCAGCCACACTCCTTTATTTTGTGGTGGTTGTTTTTGAGACAGGGTTTCTCTGTGTAGCTTTGTGCTTTTCCTGGATCTTGCTCTGTAGACCAGGCTGGCCTCAAACTCACCGAGATCCACCTGGCTCTGCCTCCAGAGTGCTGGGATTAAAGGCGTGTGCCACCACTGCCCAGCTAGTCACATTCCTTTTATACTAAAAAAGCAAAAGATTATATTCACACAAAACTTGTATATGATTGCTCATAGCGACTTTTCCATAGTTAACCAAAAGCTGAAAATAACCAAAATGTCCCTTAAGCAGCGAATTTCTAAACAAGCTGTTGTAACAGGGGATGTCCACACCATGAGATACTACTGGACCTGTTGGGGTCAATCCTGGCCCCTGGCAGCCCAAACAAGCCGGGCTCAGGCATCAGTCCCAAACAGGTCAATTAAACAAACAATAGTGAACAGCAGAGGATTTATTCAATGTGGCCACATTGGGAAAGGGGCAGATAAAGAGATGTTATGACTGCCAGGATGGTTCCACTGCTTCTTAGTCATGACTACAAAATGAATTGATACAGTTCACCTCTTGGATGGACTCCAAGGGCAAGAAAACAAGTGAAAAAGCCAATCTCAAACACGTTACTCTATGATTCCACTTATATAATGTCTTGTGATGTCCAAGTAATTCAGGAACGAAACAAATTCTCTATTACCCGGAAGGAGTTAGGGATGGCATGGGAAGGATGGGGGTGTACTTCCAGAACACAGCACCAGCTAGAGCTTGTGACAGGGCTGTTATGGAGGTCGCACACGTGCATGTACACCAACCCTAAACGTAGAGGGAACTGCATTGTACTGATGTGGGCTTCTTTTGTTCCTTCTTTTTATAACAAGGTCTTGTTATGTAGCTAAGGTAGCCATGGAATTTGCTATGTAGCCCAAGCTGGCTTCAGACTGGCTATCCCCCTGTCTTCACTTTCTGGGGCTGGTTTTGCAGGTATGTGCTGCCTTGTTTGGGTTTTCTATAGTTACATTAATATGTAGCCACTGGGGGAACTTGGTGAGGGACACAGAGAGCCTATCTGTTGCATATTTGCTGCTTCCCATGAAGCTATGGGAAGTAAAATTAAAGGTTAAAAAAAAAAAGCCCCACTGAACTTGGAAATTGTACCTACTTTATATTTTATTTGGTTGATGTAAAATAAAATCCACATGTGTTATATGTGAACTAAACTGATTACTATCCTAATACAAATAATTTACCTTAGAAATATTTCTGAGTAACAGTTACAATTGGAAATGTTTCCTTTTGGTTAAAAGAGAGAAACAATGAAAATAGTTTGAAAGCTTTACAGGATGTTTTCTTCCCAGTGAGCAGGTCTTTTTGGAGAAGGTAAAGGAGAAGGAACTTATTTCTAAGCATCTACTGTGTTCAGGACCATCCTGATTCCCTGGGGAATCACTGGTGTGGACAATCACTAATGTTATTTATTTGTATTTATTTTTGGAGTTCATTAACTTTGCTGAAAAGACTTAAATAACCACGAAGGGCTTTTTAAATAAGTAAGTTAAGAGACTGGTGTCCACTGCTCTCCTAGAGATTTGTAGTTAATATATGGTATTCACTCCCTGTTGAAAGGACAGTGCCAGACTGGGGAGTGTGGTGTGCTCTTCCCAGGACATAGCGCTGTTCCTTGGTTAGGACTTCAATTGACAACACTCTGGAGGTTATCTCACAAGAAAGTCCTTGCCATGTCAGGGTGTCCTGGCACACAAGTTATTTCAGGTTACAGAAATTATTGTTTACTTCTAATTTTTATGTAGTAATTTCCTTAGAGTCTTTGCCTGTTAGGTGAGCCATCCCTAACCCTCTGCAGGTACCAGTGAAGCAAAATGCATGGCTCGTTATTTGGGGCCACACAAATACACTTGTGTATGGGGCTCTTTCATATCCTCTGTGCTTAAGGGTCTCCCCATGGAGGGTCACTTTTGGACTTGGATCTTTGCAATTTTTGTTCTAAGTGATTATTAGGGCGTCGGGCCCATTTGGTTAGGAAACATGCAAGGAGTTAGCGTGGAGTTCGGGGCCTAAGGGAAGAACCTAAGGCTGGGGATAGAGTTTGCCCTGGCCCTTTCTCTTCAGTCTGTTGCTCAGACCTCTGATCAGCTCTCACCACTGCCAACTGACCCCACCCGCTACCTCTTGCGCAGACTCAGAAAAGCCTCTCCCCCATCCTCTGCGCCTGCAGCGGGTGATTGTGAAGGGCACCTCTCGTAACCAATCAGTATCCGCACGCTGGGCTGGGGGGCGTGATTGGACCGAAGGAGGGCGTCAACTGAGGGCGGGAGCACCATACTGGCCAATCCCCGGAGGCCAGGCCGTCGCTGCCCAGTTAGAGGCGCCTCCTCACGGTCCTGGGCATCGGTCCCGGTAAGGCTGGGAATGTCCCGGGCGGAGGCGGCTCAGACTTGAGTAGCGCACCACCCTGCACGGCTGTGTTGCAGGGCCCGGGAGGCTCACTGTTCCGAGATGGCCAACAAAGATGTGAAGTACTACACCCTGGAAGAGATTCAGAAGCACAAAGACAGCAAGAGCACTTGGGTGATCCTGCACCACAAGGTGTACGATCTGACCAAGTTTCTGGAAGAGGTGAGCTGGGCACGCACACTCCAGTGGGGCGCGGGGAGGGTGGCCCCGGCTTTGGGTTTCCCCGGCGTGACCTGGGACCGATGTCTGAACATGCGTTATCTGTGAGTGTGCATTTGCTTGCGTACATTTAGGAGGGCCCTCCGCGTCTGCACACTTGTGTTAGCTTCTGAGCATGTTCACCTGCGTGTGCACACCTGTGTCTGTGCTCCTGAGCGTCTTGGGTTTGCACATCTGGGCTTGTTTCTGGGAGGCTGGGAAGCATCCTAGCTGTGTGAGCGGTTTTTGCAGGCTGCTACGGGCGGAGTATTTGAGGGCCAGAGCTGGATTCCTACCAGGTGCTCAGGAGTGTCCTGAATAAATGCTACCCACTTGCTAGGAGAAGGCACAACTGCGTAAGGATTTTAAAAGATCCCCTTTTCTTTTTTGCCTTCTTGTCTTTGCTTATAAGGCCCTCTCTCCTTTGGGAATAGAGAACCCCTCGATTTCCGAATGCACTTCTAGTAACAGCCGGTTGGAGACCGCTTTTCTGAAGAGGTGTGGGGTTCCAGAGGGCTCTCTAGGGTCAGAAGTCCAGGAGGGGACCCCCCCAGGGCCACTCTGAAGTCCAGACCCATATGTTCACCTGTGTTCACTCAGCAGAGAGTGAATGTTGACAATCTTACTGCTGTAGTGACTTGCGCGAGAGCCCCAGCGCCTCATTGGTGGGTGACCAGATGACTCCCTACCTGTACTTTGAGCTAATACAAGGGAAGGCAGGTAGGCAGCATGGTACAGTCAGAAAACTGGATCTTCAGCCTTAAACTACTTCGGAGGTTGTAAAATGGTTTAATTTAGAGGGAGACACTTAACTTGGACAATGCTGGCCACAAAGTTGTAGTTTTTGCTGTACAGCCCGAGGGACATTTCGTTGTTTTTAATCTTTATTCCTTCGGGACACACTTTTGCTTCGATGGCGTTTTGAGTCAACATAATTTCTACATCCCACTTCTTCCCAATAAATAAGAATGCTTATTGATGGGGACGATTTGCATGTGTTTTGTTTGTGGGCTGGGCAAAGGTAGAGGCTCAGTCAGCTAGATTATAATTTACATCGAGACATTTGTTTTGCAGAGAATGTTAAACACAGGAAAAACTTGAAAGTTTGGAGTTGATGTCTCTTGGTAAAATACTTGACTGTTAATGATAAAATGGGGTTCTAATTTAATTGGGAGTGGATTGCAGTGTGGACTCAGATCTGCCTCTCTTCTGCTGACCCCAGAGCAGGTTTCCCTGCATGATGAACCCAGACCCATGTGGTGACTGATTCTTCACGTGGAACTCTCACTGTAGCCCCTTCCCATGATATGTGTAATTCTGGATTCTGGAATTTTGTGATACAATGTGTCCCTTGACTGTGTATATATAATAAAGTGTAGCATTTGTACAAAACAAAACATTGGGATATTTTATACTATGAAGCAGTTTTAACTTGTCCCATTGTCCTCTCAAACAAGGTCTTTAGACCTTGGTACTGTTGATCTTTTAGGTCGCTGTCCTGTACTCACTGGATGTCTTTCCTAAGTACTCCTGTCCTAACAGTGACAACCAACACTGTCTCCAGATCCTGCCAAATGTCCCACAGGACATGTAGTTGCTCCTGATAGAGAATCGCTGCCCTAAAATACATTGTGTATGACTTTTAGAAGTAGATCTTTGAAGTAGCTAACAAGGAAGAGATGATTAAATTACACTCAAAACTGTTTATTCTCTTTTGTTTTGTTTTCCATGAGGCAAGAAAGGGGTGAGAGAATCCTGCAGGTTTTCTGGGCTCAGCTGAAGAGCTAGGAAGCAGCCACTCAGTTGGGAAACAAATCCTTTGTTCTCTCTAAGTTATCAGCACCCCATCTTTGAGCATGGCTTGGGAAGAACGCTTCTTGAGCAATGTGGGGAAGCTCCCTGGGAGCCAGTCAGCTAAGGAGATGATGGAGAAAGTTGGGTTTGGGAGACACAGAACACAGAGAGTGGCTGGGTCCTGTTGACCTCAGGGTTAGCGGGACCAAGGGACCTATCTGCTTTTCCTGCCCCTGCTCTCACTGTGTGTGGATGTCCTAGCATGCTGGAATGTAGCAGGAGCATTTCCGTGACGGTCAGGCTTCTTAGTATATCCAGATTCCGCCTGGTGTCCACATGTTTCTCCTCTTGACATTTTTGTGGCTGGCTTTTACTTCTTAGGACTGCTTGTTTTACACAGTGTCCTAATCACTGGCTCTCCACCCCCGGGGTAGTGTTGCCCTTAGGCTCTGTGTGCATGCGCCAGCGCTGTAGTCTCTGAAGATGACTGCCTCTGTCCGTTTGGGTTACAGCTTCCACACATATCTCATTCAGCTCAGCTGTGAGGAATACTCCCAGACAGTTTTTCTTCTGTCTAGATCCCTCGAGTTTCAATTATTTTGTTAGGTCTATGCAGTTTATCACAGGCTTTGGTTTAAAACAAAAATATTTTGCAAGACCCAGAGTGTCTGGCCCTCTGCCCAAATTTCCCGCCCTTCCCTCACTTTTGTCTACATTTCAAGGCTCCAGAAATTTCATGAAGCACATGAACTGAAGACTAGTCCATCCTTGCTAATTTAAAAATGAAAAAAAAGGGGACTGGGAGGAGCAGCCTCCGTACCTCCAAATGAACTTTCTGTCATCTGGAGCTGCATCTCCACAGGCTCTGGATTCACCTGTCCATGCAGTCATGTGCTCCTGGGTTGTCT